TATGCTACAAAAAAGGTCCAAGTACATATACATACATTCATACACTCCACTATATAATTGCTACTGTCACTATCTCGGGCAGGTGCTGGTTTTGAAAGAAAGTAGCACACACAGTCCTCATTGCTAGCCAAATTTTCAAAATTATGTACAGATTAAATAATCACATAAACTGAATTCAAATTTTTTTAAAGGATAAGGCTGAATCTTTAGACTACAGTCCTAACAAGCTCTGGGTTAGCTAATAAAATAACTTTGATCCTTCTTCTGTTTAATTTATGGTTTTCAACATCAATTTACAGGGGATAAAGCTTGTCCAAGCATCAAAGTTCAAGGTCCCTCCTTTTGCTGATGATGGCTCTGCATTGGAAGTTTTATTTAAATTGCTTTCTGCTAACTTCCCTGTATTCTTCCTCTCTAATTATATATATCCCAGTGAAACTTTCTTTCATTTTAATTTTCTTTCAACACCTACCTTGACTAAAACAGAGGCTGAAGTGATGCTAAAATAAGCAGGAAGAAAGAGTTCAATGAATTACAAAAAAGAGTTCAATGAATTATTTGATGATAATAAGAGCATTTTAGGGACTCATTAGAATTAAGCCATTGCAGGAAAAACTTCATCTTTCTGGGAACATGGCTCCATCCTTGTCAAGTACATCAAAGGAACCTTCAGGATTCACAAGTACTTAGCAGCATTGAGACTCTGCTTTACAGCCATAATATAGCAAAGAGGCAAAAAATATTCTGAACACTCTTGAAAACTACGATAAGGAAGAAATACAAGAGTCCTGCCTCTTAAGATCTGACTAGCCTGCAAAAACATAGGTTAAAATGTCATGTCAGGGTAAAAAATCCTATTAAGGGTGTTCATCAACCTGAGATCCATGCCTTGAAAAAAGAGCAGACTTCTAGGCTAGTTTCAAGGGGACTGTTTACACAAAACAGAATTGCTGGTATCTATAATCCATGTTGTGTAGGCAACGCTTGCTTCCAGTAATGATATAACTTTATCTATTGATAGGACAAAGATACAAGGAGAATATTACATAATAAAATATGCACTTGATTTTATCTGTAGTCCCACTTCTACTTGATTTTTTTTAAAGAGAAGCAGACTTGTGTGCAGAATATTGATTTTTTTTCCTTCTCTGCTGATAGTTCAACTAGGTAACACACACAGAATAAGATAGTGAGTCCAAGATCAGAGAAACCAACACTTCCTAACTTTTAATATTAAAACTTTTACTGATTACTCCCTAAACAGGAAACCCCCTCCATTTGTATTGCTTCTGTGACCACAGCAGATAGTAAATGGCAGTCAGTACAGTGCCTCTTCCTTTCTCAGAGCCTTTTAGCAGAATAATTGCCACAACACATTCCAAGACACACAACAGGTTTCTATGTGCACCCTTCTAATTGCTCCTTTGCCATCAACTGTCAAGATGGCCTACGACAGAAGAGAATGGTGCTAGAAAACTTGCCATACGGAGTGTACAGGATAGTGGTAATGGTATTTGAAATCCCTGCTGAAAAAGCAGTTCAAATCAGAGAGCAAGTTCTGCTTGCCTTGTCATTTTTTTTAAAATAATCTTTTCATTTCTAAGGTTCTTAGCTACCTACTTGATACTTATTTCAACAGCTTTTCAGACACATTACTGTTCAAGTGCAGGCTTTAGGCAACTCTCCAAAAATATCCTATCTTTACTGTACTTAGCCTAAAGGTTAATTCTAAGTCAGTCCCACAACAAACACAGCAAGATGATGAGTTTTAAGGTAGGTTGTTTAATCTGAACCAAATATCATCACAGTGAGTCTAGATTCACAGAGTAAAGGAACAAAGTAAATGGAACCAGACAAAAGAGTAGGCAGCTTCTCAAGTGAAGTGAAAACCGCAGAGAAAAAGCCTAATGCCATGGATGACACTGGAGAGCTATCAAAGCTTCCTTACCTGGACTGTAATTATACCCTCATAGAAAAGAGATATTTTTTAAAACTTAAATTTAAAAAAAATACTCTATTCTATCTCACCTACAGGTAAGCAAGATTCAAAAGAAGTGTTAACAGAGGTGAAAGTCTTTTTACATGACGATAACTGTGACACGGAAATAAGAGTCAAAACCCAGACCATCCTGAGGTTTAAATGGGCCTACAGTACATCTTACTGTGTTAACAAAGAAGCCACTTCTAAGCCACAACAAAATTTTGGGCAATTTCAAGACTTATAAACTAGAGATATATTTAACAGAAAGAGTTATGCATATGTTTATAAAGATCAATTGCTCCATTAGTGTTTGCAATTCACTTTCATTACAGGTGAAATATAATGTCCTCCTGTATTTCTTTTTCTTTCAATAGATTAAGAACATCACTTTCCTTCTTTTCTACTGATCAATTATTTTTTTACAGAATCAATATGCTGTATATTTTCTTTTGTATACTAATTTGATACACGCACATCAATATATAGGTAGTGTAAGTAATATAACATCCTAAACTGCTTACTTTGTTTGGTATTACAAGGTACATGTCCTTCAAATTCTGCTTAAGGAGAACAGTATGATGTGTTGTAGAAAATGACCTTGCTCATGAGATATGCATTACCAGAAAAACACCAAGCACTCACCACTCACTACTTCACTATTATTGCCTGTTATCTACCAGTCTGACACTATTCAATAAACCTCTATTACAAAGAGTGTGATCACACGCACTAAGTACATACCAAAAGCCTTATGTATATATTTAATAAATATATTTAACAAAGTAAGAATTACATTTTTTTTTTAAGTTCCAAGTGTAAGACAAGCATTGAAACACACATTACAGGCACTCGTATGTATGCGTTATCAAGTGCCCATTACAGAATTTGGAAACTATGCAATTCAAATGCTTTACCGCAGTATCAGAAGCATGATAAACTCTGGAAAACATATTTGTTCATATTGAAAAAAACAAAATGCATCCAAAATTATTTATAGAGTGAATGCATAGTCTTGGTGCTATCAAACGATTAAAAAACCTCTCCACCACCTAACAGTAAACACAAATATGAAATACCACCAGTGCTTTTAGGGAAAAAGTCTGGGAACATCTATGTTTTCTATTAGGCTGAAGTAACTATTTTAATAACTTAGTATTTTACCAGCTTGTCTGAATGCACAGGAACTTCTTACACTTACATTATACTACAAGTCTAGATTAGGGAGCTAATTTAAATGGTTTCTATGCAGCTAATGAGAAGCTACTTCTTAAGAACATGGTTTTAGGAGGTTAAATACCAGCAGAAGTATTTTATTCTTGGAAGCAACTTTATCCTGTTAAACAAGAGGTAATAGCTAAGACCAACCAGAATAGATAAAGAGAAATCAAAAAATTCTGAAGTCCCAAACAGATCACAAAACAATTTCTAATATAAAATAGAACAATAGTATTTTTAAAATGATCATCACATGCTGTCTTTCTCTTGTTTAGGTGCCCAGAGTTATTAAACTATTGGTCCTACAGTTAACCCATTCTTGAGAATGGCTGGTTACTGCAGAAGGGAGATTACAGTTTTTAAAAACAAAATAGCAAGTCTCAGTCTGGAACATGCATTCTTTCCTTTCTTAAAGCCACCTGGACATCAGACAGACCTGCTCATTTTCCCTGTAATCTGTGAGCTTCTCTTCAAAGAAAGATATGCAAACTTTTCCAGCTGAGATTTAAGACTAACCTGGTAATCATGCAGAAGCAAAACGCATGTGGGCAGGAGAAATTTAGCCATAAAGCCTCCCTCCTTCACAGCTCAGGTTTCATTGCCAGGGAAATCAGTGATGCCCTGAGCACTAATGGACTTGTCTCGTTCCCACAGCATGGTTGGCCAGCATGTAACTGCACTGGTTGCTAGGGAGCAGCAAGCTCATTACACAGCATCACCAGCACCCTGCACAAGGATGCTGGCACACGCTCCCCATCTGGGACACTACGGACTGAGGAACAGCACTGCAGTGCCTGCCAGCCTCCAGTCTCCCAGGGCAGAGCATGCCAATACAGCAGGTGCTAACTTTAGCTCTACCTTCCACGTTTTACATTCCAGTTTCCTGAGCCAGGCAGTGCAACACAGCACACAAAGGGGGCAAGATGGTCTCCACAGCTATTGGCATGGATACCCCTTACTTTTAAAGGTCAATTCAAGATAAAGATCTTCCTGAAATTTTGGCAGGTGTATGGTTGCCACCATCAGAGGAGTAAGTGCCAGTATTCTAAAATCTGTGCTAAAGGAGAATTCAGTAAAAATGGAAAAAGGCTGAAAAAATATTCTTTTCAGTCATTAAAGAAACACAGTACGTGGAAGCATTTGAAGAGAAACCTTGTGATCTTCAGGCTGTACATAGTAGATCCCTAGAATGGATGTCAGCTGTGAATAATCTGGGTCACTTCAAAGTCTAAACATGCAACCTTAATGCATTTTTTCAGCTATTTGTCTCATTAGCACTCCACAGATCGCTTCAAAATAAAAGAAAAAAAATCTGCACGGAATAAAGAAGTCATCCCACTTGTACATACCAGAAAATTTATTAACTAACAATCTATCTGCATTACACAGAGATTGTAGCTAATGATTTTCCTGTACCTGTCACTTCAAATGCCATCCAAGAATTCTTAGTCCTGGTGAATTAACAAGCACATAAGGGAATGCAGCTGTAGATCTGCACAGATACCCATACATTCAAATCCTTAGGCGACTTCAAAATGCCTTTTTTTTTAGCAAATGCATAAAGAAATATAAAAAGGAATGAGACAGAAGGCAAAAGGCATAGAACAACAGCTCTGTTTGAGGGGGATAGGTAAACACAGAAGTGTTTCACAGAACTTTCCCCCTTACCTGAATTTAAGAAGACCAAGACACAAAAATGCCCACCACTAACATATGAAATAATGTTGTGGACACTTGTGTATCAGTTAAATGCATTTCAAAATAAGTGACTACTTTGAAGCAGAAATACATAACTAAGCCTTACCTGTCTCAACAATTTTTCAACAGCTGACATTACCATGAGCCCTCTCCACACAACCGGGGCAGTCTCTTCTATCAAGAAACCCATAGACATGCTGAAACAACAAACCAAAAACGTGAGCTTTACAGCACAATACCAAATACATCTGAAAAGAAGCTTGAAAGACATATGCTCACCATGCGATTCCATAGTTCTTAAGGGGCCTCATTAGATTTTCTAAAACAAAAGCAAACAAGGGGGTTTTTTTGGAGGGGAGATGGTTTTAGGGTATTTTGGGGTTTTTTAAAGAAATGAGCTTACACTTTTTTTTTATCTTTCTAGAGCAATTTTCCCTCTCTATTTAAACAACCACTTATTTTCTCCCCTCATCCCTTCATTAAATGTATGGAATTACCTATTCTGCCCAAGAATCTGACTCCACTTTTTCTTTGGTTGTTACATTTTACTAATAACATTCATCTTTTGCCAGAATAACCACGTATTTGCCCATAATATAATGTCACTTTGTGCTGCCAAAATCAATCTATTTTTATGAAATCCCTAAGCTGAAAGGCATAGATTCATTACCAGAAATCACTAAAAGCTGAGTCATTTATATTGGAACAAAAGCAAAGTCATACAACATGGTGAGACTTGAATTCTTATTTTTTAATCTATCCTATTAACTAATCTCATGAATCAGAAGAGTATTCCCATCAACATACCAGAGATTTGGGGAATTTGTCTCCTTCTGTTAAATGTGCTACAGAAACCCCAGAGCAGAGACACCAAATAAAGCTATCCCTAAACTATACATTGTCAATAGCTCCAGGTAATTAGTCCTGGATTTCTTCACGTTGACAGAAATCTGCAGGACTTCTAAAATGTCTGTAGGAACAAAAGATGCTTATTTGAATGTTGCAGATGTATTGTCTTTGTCATATGTCTTATTCCTATGTCCTCCAGTGTCAAGAATAAAAAGCAGGGAGGGAATATTGTAATTGTTCTGCTGGCAAAGGGGGGTGCAAGCAGAAAGCAAACAAAACAATAAAAAATAAGGCATTCAAAACAAAATCTCACAAAAGCCAAAACTCTTCTTTGTGGTTTCTACCATCTAAAGCCACACCTTATCTCCAAATGGCACACACACTCACAGAAAAGAACAAATGGCATTTTATTTGGTCCAGCTGATATCCTGGAAGAGCATGCACAGGCAGGGACAGCAGAAAATAGGAAGAAGACTTTAAACAATAGAAAATATACTATAATGCAGATTTTGACAGAAATCCTTGATGCACCCCAAGTAAAATACATAAAGAGAGTAAAATAAAAACAATGTGAGTAAATTAAAAACAGTGCATTCAAAGCTGAATTCCAAATTCAGACAAAATAACAACCAAGAGCATGCAAATTAAACAGCTAAATTCTACAGATGAAAGCTTTCAAGCAATCAAGTAAGTGAGCATTCAAGCCATGTAATTTTGTAGAAATATGGTGGAGAATAAATTGGATGTTTTGGTTTACAAATCAAAAAGAACAAAACAGGAAGATAAACAAATCACTTGTATGACTATTGCATTCAGGAATGAGTTGGGAGCTATTACTGAAAAAGAGATTGGCATGGACTGATACACTGCACCAGTGCATACAGCTCTTCTTGACTTCTGCAGCTCTTCAGTGTTGAGTCAGGACTTACTTCGGTGGTATTGTACTGTCTAACCAGATTTCTAGCAACCACAGTCTTACTTCACCTCCTGCAGTAAGACAGTTTAGTTATGAGGAGGCTGATGACATTGGAACATGAGCCATCTCTAGGCACTGTTTTGGTGACCTGGTAAACAAGACATACACCACAAGTTAAAATACTTCAGAAGTATTGAGAGAAATGACTACATATTTACCTAAGAGAGTGGTTTAAAAAAGAAGAAATAGGAAAAATGTATTTGTAACAGTGTATACCACTGCAGACTCAAAGTTTCCTTCATTTTTTATCACAAAATAGGGACAATTTTAAGACAAAGCAAAACAAAAAGGAGAGGCCAAGCTTTGACTGCCGATCATGAGGCTCAGGAACTGGAGAATAAGATGAATGGAAAAGATGCATTATTCTGGGAAGCTCACCAAAATACTAAGCCACTTCTCAGTTCAGTCCAACTGCTCTACACTATGTGAGTCAAACACACACAGACATTTCAACATCCACTACCTGCATGGACAATTTCTTCTGCACAGAGACCAGGTACACAGGCTGAGTTCTAACACCTCCGTCTCCATAAAACAGGTGAGTTGCTGTGAGTAGATAAACACTGACCTACAGAGGATCAAAAGGGGCCTCTGTTTTTCAAAATATATGCATGGTTTATTTATCAACAGCAGAGTTTCCTTTTATTAAAACTGCATCTTATTTTCTTTGGTAACAAGGATTATAAAATGCTCTGAGCAGCAAGATTTAATCAAATTTATACAATGCAGAGGAACAATTCACAACTTGCTGTATATCCTGGCTATAATATTCTGCATATTTTCAAAGTAATACAAAATACTGCAGAGCTCCCCACTGTTTGCCTACTGCTAAAAATCATTCTTAAGACTAATCTCAAACCTAAAGTGCTTCAGTGGGCATTGGTAATCACCCTTGTCTCATGAAAAGCAACAGGCCTTCCTTCCCTTTCGCTGTGGGTCTCATGAAGGGTTCCTAAAACATAACATGTAAAGAAGATTTAGCTTAATGAGATCTCAGTAACACCTCTAATTCCCATTGCTTTTAAAGTACACTTTTCTCTTATCAGAAGCCTACCATACAGCTCCAAAAATTCAACACACAACAAAACAGATTTCAAATCACAACACACAGCAATACCATACCACCTTTGCCAAGAGATAAATAAAATCACCTAGTCTGTAATTTCCCAGTAGGCTTGGTGGCCCTAAGTAAAAGACTGCCGTGTTTTCTCTGAACATTCAAAATCAGATCAGTAAGATCAACGTAGCACCAATGATATGACAGAAAATGTCTTTTCTGATTGAATACAAGTAGGGCACTAGAAAAGGCAGATGTGCCTTCATGAAAGCATTATAGCAGATTGCTGATTAAGAGAGTTCTGGGACTGGTCTGAAGATTGAATTGTTACTCACATGGAGAAGAGTAACACTGATGTAATGAAGATGGATGTTCATTACATCAATGAAGATGCATTTTGTAATTATTTTTCACTAAGCTTTTTCTCCCCAAACAAATCCAGCCTTGCAAACAGACTATCCTAATAAGATAACTGTGTTACTCCACATTGTCTCTAAAAAGACTGACATAGCTGTTCAACGATGGCCAGAGTCAGAGAGTCAGTAGAGCACAGAAGGTATGTACAGAACTACATGACATATATATATCTGTATGTATATGTTTATGGCTGGAGTACAGTTACATTTCTTCACAGTAGCTTGCATGGTGATATGTTTTGGATTTGTGATGAAAACATTTTCAAAAACTCTTCTGCTTCTCATGCCACCCCACCAGCAAGCAGACTGGGAGTACACAAGAAAGTAGGAGGGGACACAGCCGGAACATATGACCACAACTGACCAAAGGGATATCCCACACCATATGGCCTCATGCTCAGCATATAAGCTGGGGAGACAAAAAAGAAAAGGAAGTACATTCAACATTATGGTGTCCATCTTCCCAAATAACAATTACACGTGATGGAGCCCAGGGTTAAGCCACAAGGAGCCATTCCAACTCTTGGCTTAGTTTTTGGAAGTGGTTTGTTGAGCAAGCAAAAGCTTACGTTCAGTCTTACCCCATCAGGTAAGTAAAGAATGTTATGCCACAAGATAGTGTGATGTTATGCTACACCTCCTTAGAAGGCATTACACTGCTTACAAAAAGCAAAGGTAGCTTATGCAACACCCTAGCAAATGTATTTTGAGTTCCCTGGCTCAGCAAGCACAATTGCAGAAAAGTTGCTCTGAGTTTTCAAGTATTTGAACTAAAGAGAAAATTGGGGATTCTAGGAGATGGACTGACAGAAGGAAGACATTGGACAGGAAGAGTAAAAACACTGGTTGGGCTTTACATGTGTAAACATAGATATCTCCTGCCACTCTGGATGCCTTAAGAGAGCTGGGATTTGTACATGGCTAGCAGATTTGACAGAGGGCACAGGGAGAGACATACCTCCTGAAGCCTGACACTATACTCCAGGCTTGTTTCAAGTAGTACTGGTTTCCTAAGCAGAGGCAAGTGAATTCCACCCACAGAATTGCAAAGAGGAAAGAAAAGCCACAGAGGGGAGAGGAATGCATAGCAACAGGGCCCCAAGGTACTTTGAAATAAAACAGTGACACCAATCTAGGAAAGAGGGTAAAGGATGCCGTCACCAAAAAGTTAGTCAAAGTCATAAATTTTAAATCCTTGCTTTAACTGTAATCATTGTTTTAACTGCTTATGCCAGAAGCCTAGAATATTCTATGGGAAGTGACAGACTAATTGAGATTTCAGGCTTGATTTCATACTGTGTTGTCAGTTTATTTGCAGATTGCCCCAGAAATACTACAATTTGTATTTTAAGCTTGAAGAGCTCCACACAAGGACGGCTGTGATTGCCCATTACATCCTGCACTAATAGTGTTATCTAACCACAGAGACATCCCAAATACTTAACCAAAGCAAACTAGTAATGAGACTTAAAGAGCATAATTCCATGCTCACGGTTCAATTTCATGAAATATGTGCATAATGAAATGCAGCTTTCCCCTAGAGATTTGATTCTTGTATTTAGAGGGTCTACCAGTCCCATTACCTGAGAAGGTATTACATTTTTTTTTCCCTCCCAACAGACTGCAGAAGAAACAAAGCTCTGTAAAAGCTTTTTCATTAACAGAACAGTTTTGCAGATATGACTTCAGCAGTCCTACCTAAAAGCAAAAGAACTAATTGCTTGCTGGAAGACTGTACTTGAAAAGCAAATCTGGCACAAGTAAAGAGCACAGTGATTTAGAAATAGCTTTGTTACATTTTAAAGCAGCACTGACTTGTTAGGTTTAAAACACAGGGCTAGTTTTAAGCATCACATCATTACCTTCCATCACAAATGTCTTCCTTATGATTGCTAAAACAACCCACACTTGGAAATGCCCTCAGATCCCCAAGGAGACAAAAATTTTATTTAGAGTGGATCAAAAGCTTTATTAGACTAATTTAGGCAGGTTCTTTTAGTTCATTATATCCACAAGGAATTAAACAGACTAACCCAGCATTCAGTTTAAAGCATCTGTCCTGACACACAAAAACCTCTGGGAAAGCTCATGTCATTTGAAGCAATGACTTGCTGCTGTGACAGGGGGACTGCCCTGGTCAGTCACGTAACAGGGTGCCAGACAGCAGAGCACAACAGGGAGCAGCAGGAACCCCAGGGGCAGAGATGCATCAGCTTTAATTTAAGACAGAACTTCAAAAAAACATTCCAGTTAACTAGGGATTTCATTGCTTTCAAAGCAAAACTAGAGAACTCAGTGCAATTGTGTCAATTCAGCCTTTTTAGGTTCAATATTGTAATCAAGACACACACACACACACTCCCACACCCCAAAAATCAAAAAAAAAGGAAATTTAGGAGAAAAACATGGGAGGAAAAAAAACTGTTCAAGGGATTATGTGTAATTGTGCTGATTTTGGCTAAGACAGAGTTATTATTTGTCATAGTAGCTGGTATGGAGCTGATTTAGATTTCTGATAAAAACAGTGTTAGTAACAGAGGGACGTTTTTGCTACTGCTAAGCAGTGCTTACACAGTCCATGTCTTTCCTGCTTGTCACCCCACCCCACCAGCAAAGCAGGCTGAGAGTGCACAAGGAACTAGGAGGGGACACAATCAGAACAGCTGATGTCAAGTTACAAAAGGGATACCCCACACCATAAGGCATCACACACAGTGTATAAATGATTATGACCGGCCACTAAAGCAAAGGGAAAGAGATACTAGCTCTTCAACTCTTATTGTCACTTTTGGCCTCTGGGCTCTACAGGGAAACGATTAAACCACTTTTTTCCTGTTTTTTGATCTATTCTGCTTCATTTCTCTATTAGGAAAAGCCACTACGTTGTACTGCAGAGAAGGAGAAGGAAAGAGAGAATACAGCAAGAAGCCCATCAAGAAAAAAAATGCTAAAGTGAAACTGCAAGGTAAAAATATTGAGAAAAAACAGAATTAGTTGCAATCCTTCAATTTTTCTTCTAGCAGAGAAATGGAAACGTTTATTCCTCTGAAATAAACAAAAAGGTAAATGTGTTCATTCTACAAAAGCATGACTTATTTCTTTTGTTTATACATGCATAGTGAAAAGAGTATCTACCATGTTCCTATAACAAAGCCATTTTGGAATTTAATTCCAGTTTTAATACCAGTTGAACAAAAAAAAAAAAACATCTGTACCTCTAAGAGTAAACTTTATAATATAGGAAGTATCTGCTAGCCACAATTCAAATAAAATAATTTGGAATTACTGCACCGCAAGATTAACAACATAAAGAGTAATACAAACCTGCTTTCAAGTACTTCAAGCGTATTATTTCAGGTTACAGAGTTTCAGTAATTTATACTGGAATGGCATTTGATATTTCTCTATTGATAAAATTTGATTTGCCATTTATCCAAAAAGACTGCTCTCATTAAGAGGCTTTAATTACTACACTACATTTCTCATCTTATACTTTTTGTAATTGTATGAATTTATGTACAATGAAGAATAAAATTTTAATAAATTAATTCCCTAGAGGTTTTTTCCTTTTAAGCAGCAGCTAACAACTGTATGCCTATAAATAATTACTTGCAGAATTGCCTATCCTCCATCTCCTTTCCCTTCCAAGGTCTTTTATTTTCTCCACAAGTGAACTCAACAATAGCTGGACTGATCCACCTTGAGGTTTATTGTTACAGGTTTGAGGGCAATAGTCAAGGTCCAGAATAGAATATTCAACATTCAAGAAATCTTGTTATTTTCAACTACTTGATCACATTTGAAAAAGCCTCCAAAATGCAAACAACAATTAATTATAACATTCTCAATTATTATTTTGTCACATGTAAGACACATGGGACTACTGTACTTCCACCAGATAAACTGGGGTAAGACATCACCAAAAGAAAAACACAGGGTTTCAGTTACAGCTACCTTCAAAACAGAATCAATAAAACATATCATGAGACTACAGCCAATCTAAAAATCACTTGCTCACCAATCAAGAGCTGGTATCAGCAGCAAATTTTTTTTTTTAAAGAATCAAATATACGGGTTTTTCTAAATTTATCATGATGCAGTTCCACTGATAAAGTGTGATAAATACAACTTCAAGACTTCAAGCCTTACCTTTAAAGTTAAATCCTTAGCAAACCTCAAGACATTTCTTCAAAATAATTATGCTACAAAATATTTTGTCTATTTCACTAGTCCACTCCAAATTGTCCATCTATGACCCTCAAATGAATGCGCCACAATCACGTAATACTATTCCAGTAGACATCTTTAAACAGTCGCAACTACTTGAAATTTTCACATTCTGTTATGAGAGTCTGCTATCACAGTCTTAAGATACATAAATGTATCCCAGTGAAAAAATTCGGGTGCCCATTTCTGTAGTTCCTGCAATTTTATTAGATTCAATGGGACAGCCACAGACAGTTAGCTTTCTCTAAGAAATTACATTTTATTCTAAATTGTGAAAACAGATGTCTACTAGTGATCTTTTGAATATACTATTTTATTAAGAAATGAAAGACACTGAAGCTATCATAAAATGGCAATAAAGTTTTGAAATAATAAGAGTAGAGTCACCTGTCAAAGACTTACGCACCAAAACCTTCATACTCAAACTAAATAAAGAAACTTTATCTGTCTGGCAAACTGGCAAATGTTTTTGGCAATATAATAGTTTTTACTCTCTGCCATCTAGTTTAAATGCCAAGTTTAAAAGGAAAAAAATGAAATAGTGTAATTCACTAAGCCAGAAAACTGCTTTTAAATAAATTACTTCGGGAAAGAATAAAAGTAATACTCTTGTAACTTTTGCTATTAGCATTGCCCAGTATATATATTGTAGCTAATGTTAATACTAATTCCATAGTTAGATAATCCTCCATTAGCTAATTAAATTCAGTGGTGAACTTATTAACCAACATTTCCCAGACCATTTAAAGTATTTTGAATGACAGCCTATTAAATGTTAGCAGACTTTTCAATGTACTACAGTTTGCAAAATTAAATTAATGTTGTATCTTCCATTTATGCAGACTCCTCACTAAAACCACCAAATTCATTTTGAATGCTTAAATTATAGCATAACCATAATAATTTCTATTCAGAAGTAATAACTCCTGCATGGACTTATTTTGTATGGTACTGGGCATCCTTAATCCCTTTTCATGTGAGAAAGGAAACAGAAATCAAAGATTGCAGAAGCGCTCAGAACCTCCCAGGATCACTATACAGATTCATTTTCAAATCCATGCCTCACACTGAAGAAAGCATTAGGACTTCAAACTTTTTTTCTCATTGCTATGTTATGAAAAATGTCTTTAACTGACTTATTGTTATGTGGTTTATGCACTTCTGAAACAGAACTGCCTGGGCTCTCTCAGTTGGTATGCAGTATTTCTTCAGAGCTTGTTTTACTCTTGAAAATATAGTAAGAAACCAGATTATAACACCAAGCCTCATTATAGCAAAATAAAAGTCATATAAGTGTTTATATCAATATATTTATATACACCTCTATATGTACCATATATATATACACACACCTATGACTGATCACTTCTTTGCAAGCTTATCCCATCTGTCACTCATTAAAGGAATCCTTGATTAAACTTTGATTAAAGTTTCCTATGCCATTCCTACTTTGCAATTAAACCATCTTTGACAGTACTTCTCTTGCTGTTACTCGTCAGTTTCATCAACTCAATAGTTAAAAATACACAGAGTAGTGAACAGAATCCCTGAAATACAAATTCTATCTTGTTATTCATACCAAATTACTGTCTTTCTCAGCAGACTTGTGTCATCTGTCAAGCTTTTGAAATATACAAATTCATTGTACTGTCTGTTAAAAAAAAGGGTATGTTCCTTAAATCTTGATATTTACTTGTGCATTCCACACAGAACTAGAAAAAATATATTTCAGTGATCAAAATGTTAGTGTTTACAAGACAAGAGCAGAAGTTTCAGTTCAGGGAAATCTTCCAATTTTGTTCTATTACATTGAATTCCACACTTCTAACAACGCTTGAAGCATGTTAAAACAAAGTTTACAGAGGATTCTATTCAGCTGTTTACAGAAATATCTAGTCGGTGAAACAAAACTGAGCTGCTCAATATCTGAGTGAATACAGTCTTAAGTTCCAGCATTCCTAGCAAGTTGATTTGTACAACCATAAGAAATAGACTGGGCAATTTGCTTTTTAATTTGTGGTCCAAGACATGGATTTAAATTAGGCATGGATTGATAAAATACATACCAAAATGACCAAGGAATTCTAATTTATCTAATCCATTTTTCAGACAGTGAGGAAAAATTGGAGAGACAAAAGTCAACATCACATAAAAATGTAAGGAGAGATTTGAACACCACAACATAGTCCATTTTGTGTTCATCTTGCACAATGCACTTCAAATACAAAATTCATAGTAAAAAAATCTGTTACAGGAAAACACAGCCTGTATGACATACATCCTCAATGGAGTTTAAAGTTGCAGTGAATGCAATACTTTCATTTGTATCAGGAATTCAAATCCTACTGATGATACATGAAAAGGCCCAGTTATTTATTTATTTATCACTCAGCAGCCTTTTGACTTCAAAAGATGCAACAAAAATCCAACAAATAAAACTAAGTACTCTCCTACTCTCTTAGGAACTTATCTAAATAAAACCTGCATTGTGAGCTAGGTTCTTAAATGTAGGAAGTACTCAATTTGGTAGCTGTCTGTATAAGCACATGCAGTGCCTCAGTACATGGAAATACATTACTTTTTCTTTATCCAGAGTACATGGCATAACCATAAAGAGACAGAATTTTAATTATATAAGAAATCCTAAGTGTGCCACATTAAGTTTTAAGAAACTGATACTGCAAGCTTAATAACAAACCTCTTAAGATACTGACACTGTTTCATTCTGCATGCTTTATACCAGGTGAGAACATATAGATCAAATAATCACATACACACACAAATGAAGATGAGTTACAAACAAACATTCTGCAACAACACTAGAGCAGATATAGAGGGAAGGAACACATCTCCTGTGATGAAGCACTGAGAGCATCATGGCTGTTCAGCCTAGACAAAGGAAGCCTCCAGGGAGACCTCACTGAAGCCTTTTAGTACTTGCAGGGGACTTGTAAGAAAGATGGGGACAAACATTTTAGCAGGACCTGCTGCAATAGGACAAGAAGTAATTACTTCAAATTAGAAGAGGGTAGGTTCAGACTAGATATAAGGAAGAAGTTTTTTACAATGAAGCTAGCAAAACGCTGAAACAGGTTGCCAAGAGTGGTGGTAGACATGAAACACTAAAGATCAGGACATCTGAGCAGCCTGATCCAGTTGAAGATGTCCCTGCGCATTGCAGGAGGGTTGGACTAGATGACCTCCAAAGGCCCCTTTCAACCCAAACCTTTCTGTGATAAAAAAAGAGAGGTCATGGCATGAAAAGAAGCAGAAGGAATATTTAATTTTCCTTTTACCTAGCAATTGCTGCCCACAAACATTGCAGTTGATTCCTTCACTGAAGCCCTTCTGTGTCCTCTTTGAACTGGTAGATGTCCTTGATCCCTCCCTGACAACATGTATGGCCAGTCTGTACTTTCTTCAGAAGGATCCAAGGATGTTTTAATGCATCAACCAGCTGCTACAGCATGTGATTAGTTTCGTATGTGGTTACATGTTTTTATTTTTTTTTACTTACAAGCCTTCCCTCACAGGATAATCAAAACCAGCTATTACAAAAACCCTATCACCCCAGTGTCCTTAACACCCTAAAAAACCACACTGCCTTACACTCAAAAATCCTATGAACAGGATATCAAGATAAAGCCATTATTCCTTCCATCCTTGGTTGGCCTGGGTGAAAGTTAAACTTCTGAAAGGTAAAGAGACTTGATGGGATCTTTCTGCTTTCCATCACCTTATTTCTCTGAGGACTGCTCCACCTGAATTTATGTTTCTCCAGAATTCTTCCTAGCAGAAGGAAAATTAGGAGTTTTATCTACTGTCTTCACCTTCTGGTAGCGAAGTGACCACCACTGTGTTCCTAAATGCACAACTTCAAATACAAATGAGTGAAGTGGCATGGCACATTTGCCTTAAGAGAAATAAAACAGAATCATTTTAACAACATTTCAAACAAGCTACTGTAATGATCCTTCTCTTACTGGTTTTTTTAGTGTCTCTTTCCCTAGATTAGTGGGTTTTGTTTTTTAACTGAAAGTTATCTATTGTAGGATACTATATAACAATATTAATACTACAGATAAATAACATTCCTATCCAGAGTCTCTACCAAAAATCCATGAGACTGCATGGACCAAGTTTAACAAAAAATAAGACTCTGAATATGCTCCTAGTTGTACAAGGCAGCTTTGAAAGTAACCTCAGTATTAGAAACAAATAAATACATACATACACTCAGTCTTTATCTTCTGTTTGCATCCTTCTGTGCCACACCAAGGTGGCACCCATGAATGGACCATGCTCACCCCTATACAGAAAACATAGCAAGAAAAATCCCTTCCACTTACTTGGTGTTAATTCTGGGTTTCCTTTTAAGTTCATCATCTTTGGAATTGAAGGTCCATATATGTCTGCATCAAGCAAACCAACTTGTTTTGCCTATGAAAGTAAAAGTGAAAAAGAAAAGTAATTGTCAAAATGTCCTCCTTTCTGTATTATTAGCTGAAAAAAATCCAATACTGTTTAAAGAAATAAAAATGAGACCTTGATTTGAGACATCAGTTATCACTGTTTCCTTTCTCTCTAAACAGCAATTGAAAATGAAATATAACAATGTCCACAAGTTGGGTCAGTTGCCTTGAGAAGAGCTAGATTCTCCACACAGAGAATCCATACAGTTTCTTACTTAAATTGTACACCACAGACTTCATATGAACAAGCATTATAACCAATATTCTCTCTATTCCATGTACTTTCATACAAAACTAACACCTGAACACTTTAAACAAGGTATCAAATTTTATTGTTAGACAAAACCCAAAACAAAAAACCCAGCAAAAAAAATCACAAGCAAAAAACCCCAAAAAACCAGAGGTTTGTAAGTATATGCAAATGAATGCAATTTAAATCATACAGTGATTGGAAAGAATGTGAAAACCATAAATGTATTTATCATCCATTTAAGTGGCTAGAGTACACTTTTGCAGACATCTTGAAGTGACTGAAACGCAAGTCTCTCAAGCTAGTTAAGCAGGCATAACATTTTAATCAAATATATTTACACAAAAGTATGCTAAAAATGGGCTTATTCAACTACATATGGTACATTAGGCAATAAACTTGAAATAAAAATTATTTCAGCTATGTAGTCTAGACTTACAAAACTCCTTTCTTTTTTTAATAGATACACATACATAGTTTGTGGAAAGTAAACTATTTTTCTACAGATGGCAAGACATAGTACCAATTATAAGCTCTGCAAATGAAGTGGTAAGGAGCACGCCCTTTAAAGTGCTGAATGTCAAGTTTCTCTGATATAGAAAGCTAACTGTATTCAACATTTTGCAAAATTGCAAATAAGTTTAAGAGCTTGTTTGAAAGGTTAAAGCAGCAAGAGGAGCTTCTCCAACAAAGCCAAATCAGACTTCCACTGTCAGTGTTTCAAAGTGTGTACTTCATTTTTTGGGTGATGCTTTCCTAATTTGGTTTCCGAATTTTTTATCATATTTGACCTACTATGTACTTTAAAAAACAAGCTTTTACTGCAAAAATCAACCAAATTTGGAATCTGTTATTCAATATACTTTTTATTAGCAAAACAGAGCAAAGCATATATAATTATACAGATTATTTAATGTAGATTTTTTAACACTTTTTCTTTATGATGTCTTGTGAAAAGTATTACACAGAAGTTCAGAAGTTACAGTAACAAATTCTTCCTGCCTTGTTGAAAGCTGCAATTCCAAAAATATTTAAAAGACCCATATTTATGTTAGACTTTAAAGACACGGAAAACAAACTATTAAAGCTTCTTTGTTCTTGTACAAAATGCATATTTTAAAAGATTAGGAAGATTCATGACTCAGGCCCTTGATCTGTGTCTGCAGCTAATCAAACCCATCAAAACATCATCTACAGGCTGTTCTACCTAATTCCTTCCCAAATGAAAGCAAGTAATTACTAAAAAACCCACACAGTGTTTTAAACCTGATGACATACTTCCCCTGAATTTCTTGAGGATTTTCCCCCTCATACAAGAATTGTGACTATTGATTGACTGCCATGATCTCACAACTCACCAGAGTTTCACTTTCAGACCAAAGGGACTAAAGATTTAAGATGACCTAAATTAATTAGAATGACTTTACGACCTCCTGGACACGTAATCAGGTACTCACCACTACAGGCCACTCATTCCTAGGAGTCAGCAGCACTGCATCTACTGTATCTGTATTATCCAACCTAAGTGTACAAAACTTCCTGAACTAAAGAATAAATAGATCCACATTGGAGAAGAACATCCCAGAGGACTTTACAAATTCAGCAACTTCTTTAAATTACCAAGCTAATACAATAAACCTGACAATTTCTCTAAAAAACTTAGACACTTCTTCAGAAGTAAGAGAAGTGCCTGTTTCTGACATGCACTACTTTTCATGGATATGGATGTGGTTCAATAAAATTGTTGTCTTCAAACAGAAGAATAATTAACAGATCCTCAAGTTTCTATGATTCATGTTAACAGAAGCACAAGTGCTCCTGTAAGCCTGGTGCTTTTACAGGATTATAGGAAAAAGGTCTTTCAGAAATCTTTAAATCACTGACAAAACCTCACTTAAGATAGCCTAAGGCAGGGTTTTTTTCTTTACCAAGCAATTCAGCATGTTAGGGAAGTAGAGTTCACACTGCCTAGAAGCAGTAGCTTACACAGAAAGCATTGGCCCAATAAGCTATGGTTTTACTTCACCCAAACATCCCTGCTTTTCCAGTATGTAAACATCCCTAGAATGCCAATAACCCTTTACTCAAGATTTAATTATCTCAGAAAAGTATTATGGCAGCTACCAAGGGATTCTTTAAGACATGCACAGTACAGTCCAAATAATTTCTTCCAGCATTTACAATGTTTTAAATCCCCAAGAGAAGAAATAATATGCACACACCTGGATGCTACCACATGAAACTGTTAATCAGAATTACCGGATACTTCTCATGCTGAGTGAAATATAATCCAGATGCATGAGTTACAATAATTTAAAAGTTAAATTAGATTTTAATAAATTGTTTTTTCTCCCATACAACCTAACCTCATATAAAACAACATATCTTTCAAAGCATTGTATTAAAACAAATCCTAAGAAAACATACTTAATATCACACAAGGTAAAGAAAACCATCTGGGCAGAAGGAATAGATTATGGAGAATCAAAAGCACAACCAAAAAGGCAACTTAGGAAAAAAAGGAGGAGGGAAAAAAGCTCCAAGATTCCTCTTATATCCTCTGACATTATTTTGATATACATATACTTCTCATACCAACGGTGCATCTTTTTATTCTTAAGTAATACTCATTACACAGAAAGAAATGCAATACTTAAAGCACCCCCAAGCACGTAGAAGTCCCCCTGGTACTAAGTGTTTTTCAGAGCACAGCACACACCATTGCTACAGCCTCCCTTGGCACTCTGGCAGGAAAAGGACTCAGAAAACACAAGTCCACCACCTCCTCATGGGTGTATTTTCTCCTTATAAACTCATTTCTTTCCTGTGCTATTAAACAAACAGCATTCCATCTCTCCAAATGGCATTGCAATAACCAAGTTCAAAACAGCTGTTCTCAAGTTAACATTTGTCCTTTTCCTTTCACCTGCCCAGCTGTGAAAAAGTTTGAATCAATCTTCAAGTTCACTACACTTGGAAAATATTTTCTAGAGACCTTATTTTTGGTTACCTTACTGCAAATTCTGCAGCTTAAGCACTGAAGATACAAGTGACAATGTAACCATTCCCATACGATTTCATGATGGTCACTGGAAGCTACTTTGAAAAAATATACAAACACATGCAGTGTCATTGACCTCTTCATGCAGCATAAGATCCTTATCGAAATTCCATCAGGCAGAGACCATGAAATCAGAAATAAATATATTGTCAGCACATGAAAATACAAAAGTACTCCTATGTCAGCAAAAGCTCCACTTAAAAACTCACAAATGTTCACATTTACCTTCTTATCAACACCTTTAAGGCTCCCCCACCACAGGTAAACAGTCTCTAGTACAGGCTTACTACTGCTAGGATTTGCTGTTTCTGCAATACTGGCACTGTCATGGTCTCATCTGACCACTGGTGACCTCGAGAACACAAAAAAAATTTACAGAATAAAGAACTATAACTCCTCTTCATCTTCTACTTTTACATCATTGACTAAGTAATTCTTTCTGCTTCACTATCATTAATCTTCTCAGCAAAATTTTAATTTGCCCATTAGACCTCTCTAAAGATTTCTGACAAACATTCTTTGTGAGGTACTATAGGTTCCATAATCACTGCAGCTCTTAACCCATTAAAAATACAGTGAAGTTTTCATTCTAATTTAGAAACTTCTCTCACCTACATGAAGAATCAAAAACTAGTTTTCACAGTCACCAGGTACAGATTCTATATTTACAAGAAAACCAAATGCTACACCAATAGACCAAGAAAATATTCTTGCAGCTATCCCTGAGAGATGAAAATTCTACAGCTTCATTTTGTGCAGTGTACGAATTACAGGCACAGACAACCTCACCAAAAAGATCCTTTCCTTTACCTTCTCTGGCAAGATTCTCTACATAATTAAATTTCAGTTTACTCCTTGAACCTGGCCACTTGACTTGTGAGTACTAGAGATCTGGAAGACAGCAGTATTCTAAATTAATGACTTTCGAGCTCTGAACTTAGTCACAATTCTTCTGGGGGATAAAAGTAAAATGAAGTTGTTGAAGGCCAAAGTCCTGGCTGACAGAGGTCATGTAAAAAACTAATAAATTTTGCCTCCTTTTCTTTTCCTTATGCAGATTAGAAAGTATTCAATTGCTATTATGTTTGTTCTCCTAGGCAAGAAAATGTTACTGTACATAATCCTTGTTCAGGTGGCATAAATTAATGCTAATGACAAAAAAGATCCATATCTTTCCTCCTCTTAGCTCATTGAGCAGATCCTTAAGAACTGTTGCATCCCTCCCTACACTTTCTTTATGTAGGTTCCCTTTTCTGTTTTTCAGGGAATATTGACTATGAAATCAATTATATTTTCCACTAAGAAATTTTCAACCAAATGCAGTCAGTTTCATTCACATATCACAAAGGACCCCTCCACACAATTCTGTGTGCAGCAGAGAATCTGGTGATATCGCTTTTTTCCAATATGCCAAATGTTTTATTGAGGAACAGACCTGACAAAAGACTAATAAAAAGAACAGTTCACAAAAAATTTCTGTAAATAGCTGTTAATCAACATAGCCTGTGTTACTGCTAAACATTCAAAGACTCTTTGACAGCATTAATTTCATTTTTGCTCATATTTTCTGAGACTTTTTCCCATACTTAGTAGGGTATATGTATCCCCACTGGATGCTAGTAGATAGCATTTTACTTTGAAGTCAACTCTGCCAGCG